GGAGAAGGCGGAGAAGGCGGAGACGGTGGAGGCGGAGGCGGAGGTGGTGGAGGTGGAGAAGGCGGAGAAGGCGAAGACGGTGGAGGCGGAGGTGGAGGTGGTGGAGGTGGTGGAGGTGGAGAAGGCGGTGAAGGCGGAGAAGGCGGAGACGGTGGAGGCGGAGGTGGTGGAGGTGGAGAAGGCGGAGAAGGCGGAGACGGCGGTGACGGCGGAGACGGTGGAGGTGGAGGCGGAGGTGGAGGCGGAGGTGGAGGTGGAGGCGGAGGCGGAGGCGGAGGAGGAACTCTCCCCAACGGCTGTCCCGCAGACTTCGACATTCACCAACTGCTCCCTCACGAGTACGACTGTAACCGCTTCTACTACTGCGTCCACGGAGAAAAAGTAGAACGTCGATGCCCCGGCGACCTGCACTTCAACCCCGTCCTCCAAGTGAGTATACGTAATTTTTTTTTTCCGGCCCTTGGGCCTCCTTCGTGGTCCCCGCGCCTGAGGACGCACGCAGGACGTGGGACTGGTCCGCGACTACGAGACCGCGGGCCCAAGGATGTTTTCAGGGCCCTACCCACTAAACGACTCCACATCACTCTTTTTTTTTTCCTTTTTTTTCGGGGGGAAATCCTCATGGACTACCTCCGCTTGGGGAAAGGCGGAGGGGCGTGCCGGACTCCTACCGGCTAAAACCACCCCGGTGTCCACCCACACGTGCGCGCAGAGCCGCGGGAATCCAAATTCTTCCGCAGCCCCACACCAGTGCTGGCCCGGTCTGTCTAGGCCTCGTCTCCTGCACGGGGTAGTGAGGCGTTCAGCTACTCCGTGCATCGCCTCAGACGCACACGCCGATACCCGCACGCGCCTCCGTCTCAGGTCCATCAAATAGGGGCGAGGGCATTCCCAACTCCCTCGCCCTTGGACCCATTCATGGGGGGCGGAAAAGGGCGTTGTCAGCCCTTCTCCTGCGCCCGGTGCGTCTTCTGTGGCCAGGGAAGGGAGTCGAGATCTCCCTCTCCCGTTCTGCAGTTTCCTTCTGCGACATCACGTCCTCGCAGAAGGACACCACGGCGTCCCACGACTCTGCGCTGCCGACCATCCTCCGTACTACGGCCGGCAGCGACAGATCGCTTCCTACTTCATTTGTGAGGACACGGCGCTGCTCCTCCCAAGCTACACACTCGGCGAGCGTGTGTTGCGCCGTGTCCTCTCCGCAGTGGACGCAGTGGTGGCACCGAGCGTCCGGCTCCCTGTCTATGCGGCACAGGTACTTGCCGAAGCAACCGTGCCCCGACAGCATCTGTGTCACCCTAAACGACAGGGAGCCGTGCCTTCTCCCGAGCCAGTCGTCGAGTACTGGCCGGATCGCCTCGACGGTTGCGAGGCCGGCGGTAGGGCGCAGAAGCCTTTGCCGCCATTCTGCCACTGGGAAGTAATGCTTGAGCCTGTCCCTTACTACCTTCAAGGAGGTTTATTGTAATCACAGCTTTGGCTGTGTATCAAAGTGGACTACAGCATCCTCACTGTGTACTTTATAAGATACAGTTAAACGGCACAAGTGAGTGCATTGAAATAAAAAAATTGAATTAAACATTAGAATTCAATTTTACTCCATTAGACTAACTCCAAAATCCAAAAACTCCATAGATGTGTGATTGAGCTCTAGGCCACCTTGTTTTAAGTGCTAATGCATATTTCTTTGTGTTTGCAGGTCTGTGATTGGCCATGGAATGCAGGCTGCGAAGCAGGCGATGGCGGAGGCGGAGGCGGAGGCGGAGGCGGTGAAGAAAGTGGAGAAGATGGTGGTGGCGGCGGAGGCGGAGGCGGCGGAGGCGGAGGCGGAGGCGGCGGAGGCGGAGGCGGAGGTGGAGGCGGGGGTGGAGGAGTAACCCTCCCCAACGGCTGTCCCGCAGACTTCCACATTCACCAACTGCTCCCTCACGAGTACGACTGTAACCGCTTCTACTACTGCGTCCACGGAGAGAAAGTAGAACGTCGATGCCCCGGCGACCTGCACTTCAACCCCGTCCTCCAAGTGAGTACTAACTAGAACTGTATTATGTATTGGTTTGTTGAATCCACCAGCTTACTGCTTTTTAAAAGAGCTCTCAACGGCAGATTTTGTCCTACCCGCGCTCATGCCATTGCTGATGTGTACCCTTGAGTATCAATAGCCACTGATTATCCCGTGTGTCTTATCTTCGTCTTTGATAGAAACGGAAACATCTTCAGTAAAAGTTTAAACTAGTGAATGCAAAACCAAATGAAATTAACATGAGTATTTCTTTCCGTTTGCAGGTTTGTGATTGGCCATGGAATGCAGGCTGCGAAGCAGGTGGCGACAATGGCGAAGATAGCGGAGAAGATGGAAGCGGAGGTGGTGGAGGTGGAGAAGGCGGAGAAGGCGGAGACGGTGGAGGCGGAGGCGGAGGTGGTGGAGGCGGAGAAGGCGGAGAAGGCGGAGACGGTGGAGGCGGAGNAGTGAGTACTAACTAGAACTGTATTATGTATTGGTTTGTTGAATCCACCAGCTTACTGCTTTTTAAAAGAGCTCTCAACGGCAGATTTTGTCCTACCCGCGCTCATGCCATTGCTGATGTGTACCCTTGAGTATCAATAGCCACTGATTATCCCGTGTGTCTTATCTTCGTCTTTGATAGAAACGGAAACATCTTCAGTAAAAGTTTAAACTAGTGAATGCAAAACCAAATGAAATTAACATGAGTATTTCTTTCCGTTTGCAGGTTTGTGATTGGCCATGGAATGCAGGCTGCGAAGCAGGTGGCGACAATGGCGAAGATAGCGGAGAAGATGGAGGCGGAGGTGGTGGAGGTGGAGAAGGCGGAGAGGGTGGAGGCGGAGGCGGAGGTGGTGGAGGTGGAGAAGGCGGAGAGGGCGGAGACGGGGGCGGAGGTGGTGGCGGTGGAGGTGGAGGTGATGGCGATGGATGTCACTGCGGCGATGGCGGTAACAATCCGTCTAACAAATGCAAAACCGAATGCAACATCCTCCCGTGGGCCCACGACACCGACTGCGACAAATTCTGGCGCTGTGAAGGCGAAGAAGCCGTCCTAGTCATTTGCTCAGAAGGCTTACACTTTAACCCCAAGAAGGGCAGCTGCGACTTCATCTGCTACGCCGGCTGCGTGAGGAAGACCGTCCAGGTGACGACTCGACCTAACGGCATCAGCATTTTCGTGCCCACGAACAAAGCCAAACAGAGCGAACAAATGACTTTGATTACTAATTCGATTGAATAAATGATTCAGAATATTTATATTCGATTTGTTTATTTTTCCAATGGCCATTTTATTTCAACAGCAATTCGTTTACAACAAACAGTTCTCAAATACGGCGCTCACACGTATAGAGAGCGGGAAGTTTTAACTTGTTTTCATTTCTGGTCTATAGAACGCCATTTTCAAAACATTCATAAGACGCGCCCGCTCCTAAAATAGCTGCCCCGCCCCCGCTGATTATCCAGGAAAAAACCGCTTGATGTTAGATAAAGAAAGGAAACGAAAAGACGGCTTTGTTCAAAAACAAAAAGACATGTATTTATTACGTAAATATTTGTACTTAATAAAATAAGTTAGACACATAACAATATCGATTTAGAGTATTTATTTCGAGTCACTGGTGGTGGTGAAGGTAAATTCGGACATATATTGTAGAAGTTCTTATAAATGTTATTAAAAAAATATAAAATATGTGATTTTTGTTCTTTTATTACTTATAAAATACTATATAGTTTATTAAATAACGATGGCGATCTTAAAACTTTCTAAGCACGTGTACACATGTACTACAAAGACAGCCAAAGTTCTATCTATATATCTATATATTAATACGTGAAGCAAAAACTTTGTATCCCTTTTTACGAAAATTGCGCGGACGGAGGAGTATGAAATTTTCCACACTTATAGAGAATATAGAGAAGAAGTGCACAATGCTAATATTTTTTTTAATTAATGCATAAAAGATACATTAAATCAATAAAGAAAACATTACACACACTACATACCATGTATTTGACGCACACACGCATGCATACTATTTATTGTCAAACTTTTGTTCTTGACGTCTGTGGTCAAATTGAGAGTAGATTAAATATTGTTTGCCTTTGTTAATATTTTTTATAGTGTAGTCTTGGCGAAATTTGGTGATTATAGAAGTATAATATACAATCATAATAGTGTACAAACTTACAATTCCAATTAATTATAGTCGAATTTCGACTACTGTGGGACCTCTAGCACGTTTAAATATATAAATATTGAATATTCCGAGACAGGGCGAACGATCCTGTGCCACCACATTAATGTTTGCCCGATGCGAGAATCTAACCCGCAACCCAATCGGCGGCCATTTGAGACAGAGAGTTTGGACCACAGCGTTAGTGTTTGAACACCAATTCTCGATGTTTCGACATAGACCCACCGGTCATGTTCCATTTTTATTGCTTAGGTGGGTGGACGAGCTCACAGCCCACCTGATGTTAATTGGTTACTGGAGCCCATAGACATCCACAACGTAAATGCGCCACCCACCTTGAGATACAAGTTCTAAGGTCTCAAGTATANGACAGAGAGTTTGGACCACAGCGTTAGTGTTTGAACACCAATTCTCGATGTTTCGACATAGACCCACCGGTCATGTTCCATTTTTATTGCTTAGGTGGGTGGACGAGCTCACAGCCCACCTGATGTTAATTGGTTACTGGAGCCCATAGACATCCACAACGTAAATGCGCCACCCACCTTGAGATACAAGTTCTAAGGTCTCAAGTATAGTAACGACGGCTGCCCCACCCTTCAAACCGAAACGCATTACTGTTTCACGGCAGAAATAGGCAGGGTGGTGGTACCTACCCGCGCGGACTCACAAGAGGTCCTACCACCAGTAAAAATTACCACACCGCTATTAGCTTGGACACACCCAACTGTGTATGCAAGTGAGTGTGTGTGCATAAGAATCTTTGAACCTCCTTACTACAGACTTCAAGACGTCTGTGTGCTTAGTGCGAGTTCTTTAACGTTCTCGATAGCGTTAAAGTTAACTCTTTTTTTTTATTGCTTAGATGGATGGACGAGCTCACAGCCCACCTGGTGTTAAGTGGTTACTGGAGCCCGTAGACATCTACAACGTAAATGCGCCATCCACCTCGAGATATAAGTTCTAAGATCTCAGTATAGTTACAACGGCTACCCCACCCTTCGAACCGAAACGCATTACTACTTCACGGCGGAAATAGGCGGGGTGGTGGTACCTACCCGTGCGGACTCCCAAGAGCTCCTACCACCACCAACTCAAATTTGTATGGACTTAGAATGTCTGCCTACGTTTGCCGCTAGGGGCGCTGTTCCAACCGCATACGAGTTAACTTTAACGCTATCGAGAACGTTAAAATACTCACACTAACTCGCACACGCGTCAAGGCCTGTCAATAATAACATTAACTCCGCTCTGACGTCCTAACTGGGGTTAAAAAACAAACATAAAACTGTTGGCTGTTTAAAAATGTTTTTAAAGTGAAAACTTCTTTAGAATCGTTGTGATTTCAAACCGGATGCAACGGAAAAAACGACAGGTAAGAGACACAAATACAAAAATGTGTAGGATGAAGCCAGCAAAGAATGAGACAGAAATATACATACTATTTAATACAGCGCCATCTGTGAGATTTTTTAATACTAACGTGTGTATGAAAGCTCTTGTAGTGAATTTTAATTTAGGATTATACGTGAAATTAAAATATCAATTCACAGAGGGCGCTACCTTACAATTATTTACTAATGACAAAATTTTACATATACTTAAGACGTTTAGGATAATTGTATTTTAATTTTGGAAGGTTTCACTTCTACCACGTGTGAATTGCACACATTTTGTTTTTTTAAGTTACGAAATAACAAACATGATTTTAAACGCAATTTTCGTGTACTACTGACTATCGACAGCGTCATTGGCTTCGATTACCTGAAATTAAAAGAAAGCAAATTTATATTGGTGTTTTTATCTATTTATGACAAGCGGCTCGCTCCGGCTCCGCTCGGGTCTTTAACAAAAATTTCAACGATATTTGACGTTGTTTTATTTTTTTAAATAAAAGAACACTTATTGCGGCATGACTATAATAGTTAGACATATGCTGTGGCGACACTTTTTGTAAATAAAAATGTGTTCTACAAAGTCGTAGTACATTATTTTATTCTATCATCAATAGTTTTCGCAGGGCACGCGAAAGAATATTTTAGGTAATTTTTTTACACCTTGGGTTACATTATTGGGGTTTTAGTAAGGATCCCTAATTTTTTTTCAAAACAGATTATAGCCTGTCACTCGGGAATAGTGTAGCTTCTAAACAGTGAAAGAATTTTTCAAATCGGTTCAGTAGTTTCGGAGCCTATTCAATACAAACAAACAAATCTATCCTCTTTATACTTATTTATTTACGAGCTGACCCGGCAGACTTCGTAGTGCCTCAATCGATAAATAAAAAACCTAAACTTTTGTATAAAATAAAGTTAAAACAAACAAAAGAAATCCGTCCGACGGGGTACACATCAATGGAAAAACAATATTGTTATTTTTATTTGATTCCGACCATTTTCATATTTATCTACCTTTTAAACCTTTTCTGGACTTCCACAAATAATTCAAGACCAAATCGGTCTAGCCGTTCTCGAGTTTTAGCGAGACTAACGAACAGCAATTCATTTTTATATATAGAGATTATTTATTTATGATGGCGCAGTACGAGTAAGAGTCCGCCATGTTACTTATTTACGACCGTGCTATTTCTGCTGCGAAGTAATAATGTGTTAAGGTTTCAAGTGGGACATAGAAGTGAAAGGCTACTTCTGTAAGTGGCGTACTCTGTGTGTATCAAGACGTGTTCGTCGAATGATGATCAACTAGGGCCAATCCAGCCGACAGGCAGCGGCTTGGATCTGCCCCTGGCATTGCTGACGTCCATGGGCGACGGTAACCACTCACCATCAGGTGGGCCGTATGCTCGTCTGCCTACAAGAGCAATAAAAACAACTATTGCTGGTGGCAGGACGTCTTGTGATGGTTAGGTACCACCACTGTTGTACTGCACTAAGATCCTAGAACTCACGTCTCAAGTTGGGTGGCGATAATTACGTTGTAGATGTCTATGGGCTCCGGTAACCACTTAACAATAGGTGGATCGTGAGTTCGTCCACCCATCAAAACAATAAAGTAAACTCCTTACTAAATTATAATAGCAAAACGATAATAATATTTATAGCAATAGATGTAATAATAGAGAAATAAGATTTAAAATTAAGCCTTATTTAAAAAGAAAAGTTTTTTTTATTGCTTACATGGGTGGACGAGCTCACAGCCCATCTGGTGTTAAGCGGTTACTGGAGCCCATAGACATCTACAACGTAAATGCGCCACCCACCTTGAGATATAAGTTCTAAGGTCTCAGTATAGTTACAACGGCTGCCCCACCCTTCAAATCGAAACGCATTACTGCTTCACGGCAGAAATAGGCAGGGTGGTGGTACCTACCCGTGCAGACTCACAAGAGGTCCTACCACCAGTAATTACGCAAATTAAGTTTTGCGGGTTCGACTTTTATTACATGATGTTATTCCTTCACCGTGGAAGTCAATCGTGAACATTTGTTGAGTACGTATTTCATTAGAAAAATTGGTACCCGCCTGCGGGATTCGAACACCGGTGCATCGCGCTCAACACGAATGCACTGGACGTCTTATCCTTTAGGCCACGACGACTTCAAGGACTGCAAGCAGACGAGCTTACTGCCCATTGCGTTTCCAATAGCATCACAACCGAGGACTCCCAGCGCTTGGACAACACCAAAGCTACCAGACCCCTTGAACATCCCTTTGAAAATGAAACCCGCAAAATTATAATTTGCGTAATTACTGGTGGTAGGACCTCTTGTGAGTCCGCGCGGGTACCACCGCCCCGCCTATTTCTGCCGTGAAGCAGTAATGCGTTTCGGTTTGAAGGGTGGGGCAGCCGTTGTAACTATACTGAGACCTTAGAACTTATATCTCAAGGTGGGTGGCGCATTTTCGTTGTAGATGTCTATGGGCTCCAGTAACCATTTAACATCAGGTGGGCAGTGAGCTCGTCCACCCAACTAAGCAATAAAATAAAAAAACAAATGTCCTACGCACCCTTTTAATCTTCTTCCCGTACATGCTCCAGAAGGTGACTTTAACTTGAGTGGGTCTACCGGTCCTGGCGTCGAAGACCCGGCAGCTGTCGAACGGGGGACAGTAGAGGTGCAAGGAGACAGCGCCGTCCACGTGCGAGGGGTTCTCCATGCGGTGCAGGCCAAGAGCGTCTGAGGGCACGAGCGAGGTCGCATGTTGAACAGTGAAACTTTTTAACACGCTTTCATTAGCTTCAGACGTATGTATGTTTGTAACGGAATCTTTGAACATGATTTTGACCCCCTTCAAAACGTCGGATTAACTCGAAATTTAGTATACTTATTAAGAACCGTTGACAATTCAATATTTAAAAAAAAAATTTGAAAAAAAATATATTGAGAAAATTTACATTCAACTAAAAAATGAAAAATAAATGATAGTTTAAAAAAACTAACAAAATACGCTTTTATAGAAAAGCCAACTAAAAACTAGAAAATAAATTTTAATAAATTTGAATGCATGGTATCAATAGTTATAAAATTTTATGAATAGATGTGAGTAGAAGGGTTATTTTGATAATATCCTGAAAAGCACCCCACGGTTTTTTACAGTAAAATATTTTTTTCTTACACTATTTTTAATTCAAATTTATTAAAAAAAAAAATTCAATTTTTTAGTTGGATTTTCTATAAAAGCGTATTTTGCTAGTTTTTTTAAACTTTTATTTATTCGTTCAGAAAAAAAAGCTTCAACAAATTCCGCAATTACATATTATCGACTTACCATTTATGTAACACACATCATTCACTTCTAATCTCGTTCTCCCTATTTCTTTCATATCTTTCAAATCGTAATAATCTTCGTCTTCTTCGCCGCTATTCATGTGACTATCTCCCTGACAGCTGTCATTTTGACGTTGGCAGCTGTCATTATAGTCTGTGCTCATCGCGGTGTGGTTGTCGCAGTTTTGGTCGCCCGTATTTGCATTCTCTTTGATGGTTCTTAGCACTTCGGGCTGGACGTCATCAGGCCAGTCGTATCTGTGCAAGGAGAATGTAATAAATCGCCTGGTTGCTTTAGTGATCGTGAGTAAAACCTTAAAAGACCTCCTAAAGCTCGAATTGAGGAAACTATATAGCATCACGCTAAGACCAATACGAGCGGAGTACTAATAAATAATGTTTCAAAATCTTTTTTTTTTTTTTTGAGAGCTTCCGCTGGGTGCTCTGCGGAAACGCTTAAAGTTTCGCTGAAATAATGTATGACAGAATTGTTCCCAATTGAAAAAGTTTTAAAAAGTTCAAAAAAAGGCTGTGTCAGCATATGTCTATATCTTTAGGACTTTATTTTAAGTTAAGGCTCACCGGTGAGCCCCGTGGCCTGAATGAAAATACTCGATTCTTCTTGTACCAAATAAAACGCATCTTTAATTACAAAGATAAATGTCGCGTGATAAGCGAAATGTCACTTAAAACCAACCTTTTATCCCTCGATATAATGACAACAAAAAATTGCGTGATTCAGCCGTTATAATCTATATATTATTACGTGAAGCAAAAACTTTGTATCCCTTTTTACGAAAATTGCGCGGATGGAGGAGTATGAAATTTTCCACACTTATAGAGAATGTAGAGAAGAAGTGTACAATGCTAATATTTTTTTAAAATAACGCATAAAAGATACATTAAATCAATAAAGAAAACATTACACACACTGCATACCATGTATTTGACGCACACACGCATGCATACTATTTATTGTCAAACTTTTGTTCTTGACGTCTGTTGTCAAATTGAGAATAGAATAAATATTGTTTGTCTTTATTAATATTTTTTGTAGCCTTGGCGAAATTTGTGATTATAGAAGTATAAAATACAATCATAATAGTGTACAAACTTACAATTTCAATTAATTATAGTCGAATTTCGACTACTGCGGGACATCTAGTAGTTTTAATTGTGTCTGACAAACACACACACACACACACACACACACGCACACACACACACACACACGTACGTACTATATTCTTACAGATCGCTCTTCCTGGTTATCTTACTTACCTGGTGACCTAGCACTGAACCACTGACTTTTGTAACACAGGTTTTCCTAGCATAAAAGTCAGGGAATATCGTTATTGTATACCTCATAAAAAAGCCATGTATATTATTATATATTATATTATATTTATTATATTATGTTCCTCTACTCGAGCTCTAGGCTCGGTTTACTGAGCTCCCGCCCCGAGACCCTCAGGGAAAGGGTGGCGCAGTTTCCCCTCCTACGAAGACCGTATCCCCCAAGACTTTCGTGATGATGGTGACCGTGTGTATGGCAGCTTGTTTCTGCATGATATGTGGGTTGATGTTTGCATCTAATTTATCTATGTATTTCTGTAGGCTTTTGGCTATTACTCCGGTTGCTCCTATTACTATTGGTACTATTTCTGTGTGTGTTTTCCATAATCTGGTTATTTCGGTTTTGAGTGCATGGTATTTACTTAGCTTTTCTTACTTATTGTTAAGAATTCTTGTACGTGTTTGTATTTTAAAAGGCTTCAATAAAAAAAAAAAAATATATACATATTTTATAATTCCAAAATTAAGAATACCCGCAGCCGTGAGTTCAAAGCATCAATATATTGCAAACTTCTATTCGAGACTGGAACGCACTGTATTTCACGAAAATTTGTTTGCACCATGCTCTATCAGCAGTACCTAATATCAATAAGCGCAAACAATAACCTTACGACCCTCCAATCGAGTTATAATTAGGTTGAATCGTGACAACCGATCGCTAAATGATTCACTGAACTTGCCCTATCAATTAGTTTTATAGCCATGTTTTGTGTACAAATATTTTTGACGTAAAAACACATCGGATGATATCAAATTATGTGCCAACAAAAGTTTCGAGAATTGAATTCGATTGATGTTCTATCGAGCTAGACACGGTCTTGTGGCGAGGCTTGGGGGAGACCCATGTCCAACAGCGCGTCTGTGGGCTGATAAGAAGAAGAAGATTAATATTTTATCAAATAACCGGTACTCGGGAATCAAATCTATACTAATACTAGCTGACCCAGCAGACTTCGTAGTGCCTCAATCAATAAATAAAAGACCTAAACTTTTATATAAAATAAACTTAAAACAAACAAAAGGAATCCATCCGACGGGGGACACATCAAAGGGTAAATAAAATTGTTATTTTTATTTAATTTCGAGCATTTTCATATATATCTACCTTTTAACCTACCTTCTCTGGACTTCCACACATAATTCAAGACCAAAATTAGCCAAATCGGTCCAGCCGTTTTTGAGTTTTAGCGAGATCAACGAACAACAATTCATTTATATATATATATATAGATTATTATAAAGCTGCAGAGTTTGTTTGGTTGAACGCGCTAATCTCAGGAAGTACTGGTCCGATTTGATAGCTCATTTATTGAAGAAGTCTATATCTGGTTATCTAACATCACGCTAAGATAAGAGCCCCAATGAAGACTATTACAAAAACGGGGTACTTTTCCCTTTTGAGAGCTTCCGCTGCGTGCGCTGCGGAAACGGTTAAAGTTTCGCTAAAATAATGTATCACAGAATTGTTCCCCTTTAAAAGTTCTAAAAAAAAGTCCGCGCTGGCATATGTCTATATTTTAAGGTTGGCTCACTATAACGTTTTTTATGGTAACCAAATTTGTTCTAAAATTACAGAATTATTTGAGAAGGTGTTTTTATGAAGATGATATTAATTAAATTATAATAAAATTATTAATCACAGATATTAAAACAACATGTCATGAATATATTGACCGTGATCACTGTTGATGTTAATTTAATGACATTAGTGAAATGCTCATTTCCGTTGCAATTAAGCTTCGCCGACACATTCCGTCTTTTTTTTTCTTGCTTAGATGGGTAGGCCAGCTCACAGCCCACCTGGTGTTAAGTGGTTATTGGAGCCCATAGACATCCACAACGTAAATGCGCCACCCACCTTGAGATATAAGTTCTAAGATCTGAATATAGTTACAACGGCTGCCCCACCCTTCGAACCGAAACGCATTACTGCTTCACGCGGAAATAGGCGGGGCGGTGGTACCTACCCGTGCGGACTCCCAAGAGGTCCTACCACCAGTAATAAAAAACTTATTCAACCAATAAGCAATGGTGTAGCCGAGAAAACCGAAACGAAAACAATAGTCGACATAATGACGTTTAATATGCAAATAATTACATTGATTAAAATAGATTTATTATTGTAATTATTAAAGCAATTAATATTGTGATAACGAATAACTATACAAATAAGATTACATCACTTGTTTTCATATTTGCGTAATTAATTGATTAAATAACATTCTGTTGAGTGATTTTTTACTGTGCCAACCAGAGATGATACCAGAGCATTGTGATAACCTAACCCATGCATCAGCCCGCTGAGTTTCTCGCCGGATCTTCTTAACGGGTCGCGATACCGATCCGGTAGTAAAGAAGTCGTCGTGGCCTAAGCGATAAGACGTCCGGTGCATTCGTGTTGAGCGATGCACCGGTGGTCTTATCTGCCGAGCCTACAAAAATTCGCATCTACATAATTATCAGAGAACTACTAATTAAATATGACAACCGCTTTGAAGGAATGTGTAAATATTAAATTGATAAACGGATTCTAAAATAGAAAGGAATTTTTTTTCTATGACTAAGATTATTTTACTTTAGCGCAAGTGTACTGGAGAGAAGTAAAATATCTGCATTATGTTTCGTAACGTTACGACTATTGGGTGGATGAGCGAAAGAGACAACTAGATGTTCCCACTAGCTACGTGCCCAATACTGACTTTGAATGGGCGCGTCACTGCAGGAATGATTTTGGTATTGTCGATAGCAAAAAGCCATTATTAATGGATAATATCTGGATGTTTTGGATCGAAAAATGGAGGGTATTCGTCTGACCCATCAACGAGTTAGCCGTAAAGAGGTTTCTGTGTTAAGTCTCAATCGAATTTTGACCTACAAATTCTGTAAATCTTGACTGTAATACTTAATAAGTCTATTAGATTTTTGTTGTTTTACCACTCTGCTTTGCGTGATGACTGGTGGTAGGATCTACATGATACTCTATTGCATTATTGCGCCACTTTGAGAAGGCGACACGACTTAGATACCCGATCCTGTGGACCGAATGGTAAACAGTCGACGCGACGTCGCCCTAAGCACGTCATTACGGATCCTCCCGATCCATTATCGGTGCTTTTAGGTACCACAAGCACCGGTCACCGTCCTCGCCGAACCCGTCGCTTGCGACGATGGGCTCGACGAGTAAATTGACCCATAGACACAGCACACTAAGTTGACGTGGGAATGAGGCGTTCGCTCCTGGCCTTTTCATTTTTCATTATTATTATTATTATTATTATTTTTAATTGTATTGTATGACTTGTTTTTTCCTTTATTGTAAATATTTTTAGTTATTAAAAAAAAAATTGAAAAAAAACAAAAAAGAAAAAGACTGCTGAGTTTGTTTCGCCGGTTCTTCTCAGGACTGTGGCTTTTTTTGGAACCGTTGGCGTTGGTGGTAGAGTTAACATTGTTATTTATATTTTGACATTCAACAAGTGTGTCATACTGACATCTAAGTTGAATTAAATGATTTTGAATTTGAATTTGAATTTCTCGCTGGATCTTCTCAGTGGGTCGCGTTTCCGATCCGGTAGTAGATTCTGCGAAGCACTGCTCTTGCTAGGGCCAGTGTTAGCAACACTCCCGGCTTGAGCCCCGTGAGCTCACCTACTAGTTCCTTGAATCTAGAATAACCCCTCGAGGTTTCTAGAATAGGTAGGAGAAAAAAAACCCGTTTGTGTTGCGTTGTGGTAATTGAATGTATTTATTGTTTTGAGATATTAATTGTACCCTTTTTTTTTCTCGTGGGCGAAAGGAAATCCTCATGGATACCCAAGGGCCGGGGCCAAAGGGTATGCCCGACTCCACTGAGAAAGTGTCTCAATGACCTAGGGACTAAAACTTTCCTCCTTATCTGTCCCTTTTTATTATGGGACAACCTTTATCCCTGTGTTAGACATTTTCAATTTGCATGCTTCTTTTTTTTTCTAGAACCCTTATATTAGAATTTAACGACTTGATGAGAAATATAGAATTGATGCGTTGCTCTTGGTGGGTGGATTTGAAAGAGCATTGGTGTAATGGCGAACGTCGCTCGTTGACATTTTGACGTTCAGAAACTGAACTGCCTGGTTCCACGACGAAGCAGGCTTCTGGTGTGTTGACTCGCTTATCACAATGGAAGTTTCGACCAAGATCCCAGTTAAGTTTTATTAAGATCTGACCCGTTGTTTTTCGGTTATACATAGATGAAGAGTATTATAGCATGTAGTATTGAATAAGACTAGATTCATCACAGTCCATTTATCTATCTTTGATGTCGTATTTTTTATGTTTTTCTTTATCTATTTGCTTGTAGCCTAAAAAGCCAGCTACGCGTTTTATTTTTTTTATTGCTGAGATGGGTGGACCTTCTTGTGTTAAGTGGTTACTGGAGTCCATAGACGTCTACAACGTTAATGCACCACCCGGCTTGAGATATAAGTTCTAAGGTATCAGTATAGTTACAACGGCTGCCCCACCCTTCAAACCGAAACGCATTACTGCTTCACGACAGAAATAGGCAGGTGCGGCGACCTTCGCGATTTCATATCTATCAGCTGTTGTAACCGTGTAACATTAAGTGAGTGCTTCGGAATAAAAAGATCATGACCATGTGGGCAATCAATAATTCCTTTTTTTTTATCAAATATCGAAATTACTCAGCCGCGTCTGAGAAGACAGGTATGCGCGATAATAGACGTGTGTTATCATGTGATACGGTATTTGAATGTTGACCTCTGTAATCTCAGGGTTCTCTGTTGTTTCCATACAGATTGCTAGAAACATCGGCACGGCGATAACGGGTGAAGATTTTCATGTAAATATTACGTGTTGGCTGAATGATAATTTTTTTACAGGGTTTTTTTGTTGGAACGAAGTTCCTTACGGCAGGCTTGGAGGGGATCCCGGTCGCAGACGGGACCCACAGCACCCAATCTGCGTGTTGTGGGTCTCGTCTGCGGAGGAGATGCTGGACTCCTACCGGGCGCGTCCGTAGGTGGCGGATAACGGGATCCTCTGGGCGACATTCCCAGAGGTATCGTCCGATCTTTTTCGTTGCAAGGATTCTTAGGTTTTAGGTCCTAGGTATAGGGTTAGGTTTAGATATAGGTTAAGGTCCTAGGTTTAGGATTAGGTTAAGGCTTAAGTNTGATGTCTATGCGCCATTTTCGGAACCACTGTCCTAGGGCTAGGGCTGCGCTCTGAAGCTTCTTCGCGATTAGGGACTTGTTTCTACTGGAATAGTAAACAGTCGTGTCGTCGGCGAATAAAGCTAAATGGGTCGGCGGCGACCGGGGAATATCGTTAACGAATAAGCTAAATAGGAGGGGTGAGAGGACAGAGCCTTGCGGGGCGTTCCTACCTGGTGTCCCACGACACCACATAATTTATTTTCTTTTTCAGAGAACTGGCCGCTAGTGGAATGTATATATATATATTACTAGCTTTTGCCCGCGACTCCGTCCGCGTGAACTTTGGCATAACACAAAAAATTACCCCCACTTCATTTACGTAGAAAGTGAAAATATTTTTGAATTATAGAATGTTAAGGAGCTATTTAAACCCCTATTTTGAAACAATCTTTATAGGTGCTCCACTTGTTTTGGTCTTACCGTGATCCTATGTAGCCTATAGCCTTCCTCGATAAATGGGCTCTCTAACACTGAAAGAACTTTTCAAATCGGACCAGTAGTTCCTAAGATTAGCGCGTTCAAACAAACAATCTCTTCAGCTTTATCTATTTAAGTATAGATAAAGTATAGATGAGTATGCACCACATAACAAACAATAAAACAATTCCCACAAACCGTGACAGATTTGTTTAAATTTCTTTTTTTCCTATTCGCTGGTAGCATAAGGGACTATTTCAGCTACGCGCGGACGAGTAAGTGAGCTCACGGGCTCAACCTGAGAGAATTTGCTAACACTAATTTGCTAACTGGTGGTAGGACCTCTTGTGAGTCCGCGCGGGTAGGTACCACCACCCTGCCTATTTCTGCCGTGAAGCAGTCATGCGTTTCGGTTTAAAGGGTGGAGCAGCCGTTGTAACTATACCTGAGACCTTAGAACTTATATCTCAAGGTGGGTGGCGCATTTACGTTGTGGATGTCTATGGGCTCCAGTAACCACTTAACACCAGGTGGGCTGTGAGCTCGTCCACAAATCTAAGAAATAAAAAAATAAAAAAAACACTAGCCCTAGCAAGGTACCAAGAGCAGTGCTTTACTGAATCTACTATCGAATGGGAATCGCGTCCCACTGAGAAGGTCCGGCGAGAAACTCAGTGGGCTGTGTCTATGGGACACACAGTTGTAGTTTGATCGAGTTTGTGTGTACGAAAAGTTTTTTTTTAAGTTATACTTCATTAGGCGCGTTTTGAAAAATTGATGAGAGTGAAATTTCAGGATGCGCGCGCAGCGTGACACAAAATTAACAGAAATGAAGTTGCCCACTAAATCGCTCATTACAATACGACCGACGTAACTTGGCGAGTCTGAATATAGCCGCAGGTGAACTTTCCGAACCGTACCGAGAATTACCGAATTTATACGATGTCAAGAAAAGGGATGTCCAATATTCGTGTTTGAGGATGTTGTTTAATCGATTTTTTTTTTCAAATTGATTAAAATTTAAATAAATAAAAAAAGAAATAAATTTAATAAAAATAAAGTATAGCTTCTTACGCGCGTACATAAGTACACGCACCCTTTTTTTACTCAATTTCCACGTGTCGTAGTCATAATTTAATAATCTTACGGTTTGATCGGTTCACGGTCGTCTGTGTGTGCGCGTCACCACGGAAAGTATAATGCCTTCGTCAAACAGAACGCGTACTGAGCGCCGCGTACTTAACGTCGCGCTCTTCAAATTGACCAGATGAGTCTAACGCTCCTTGACGCAACGCATTCGCCAAATCATAGTGCCTTTCGATAACAGTGTGAAAATTTAAAAGTATTAAGAAATCGAGTGATTCAGATGTGACATTGTATAAGCATGGGTATTTTCTAACTATTTATAGAATTTTTTCGGGCATTATCTAGTATTTTAATACACATTCACTCGGGCGCTAAAATAAAATTTGTAAAAAATTACAACACCTGACGTCAAAGCGTCCTAACGCCGCGACAGAGCGCTGCGTACTTATAGCGCTGGGGCTCTGTTTGACGGTATGTTACCATAGTAGTACAACACATCTCGGCGTCATAGCGCGGCGTCAGTTTAGCGCTCTGACGCGCGCTAATTACGCGTTCTGTTTGACGAAGGTTTTAAGCTTTACGAAACGTCAGAGATAATGAATAATTAATAGCGAATTTAAACCGTAAATTAACTATTGATAAGTATAATTGTTCATTGAATTAAATTATTATTATAGCACTAGCTGACCCGGCAGACTTCGTAGTGCCTCAATCTATACTTAATATTATAAAGAGGAAAGATTTGTTTGTTTGTTTGTTTCGAATAGGCTCCGAAACTACTGGACCGATTTGAAAAATTCTTTTTCCATTAGAAACCGACATTGTCCCTGATGAACATAGGCTACTTTTATTTATTTATTTATTTTTTTATTTTTTTTGGTTTCTTGTGTGTTTTAATGTTTCCGAAGCGAAGCGAGGGCGGGTCGCTAGTCGATAAATAAAAGACTTAAACTTTTGTATAAAATAAACTTAAAACAAACAAAAGGAATCCGTCCGACGGGGGACACATCAAAGGAAAAACAAAATTATTATTATTTTTTATTCCGAGCATTTTCATATTTATCTACCTTTTAAACCTTTTCTGGACTTCCACAAACAATTTAAGACAAAAATTAGCCAAATCGGTCCAGCCGTTCTCGAGTTTTAGCGAGACTAACGAACAGCAATTCATTTTTATATATATATAGATTATATAATACGGCAAATCGTTTTATATCGGTGGTCCAGTTCAGGAGAAAGTTCTAGAATAAGGCAGTTCCGATTTTTTTTTTATTGCTTACGTGGGTGGACGAGCTCACGGCCCACCTGGTGTTAAGTGGCTACCGGAGCCCATAGACATCTACAACGCAATTTTTATTTTATTTTATTGCCCTTGCAGGTAGATGAGCATACGGCCCACCTGATGGTGAGTGGTTACCGTCGCCCATGGACTTCAATGCCAGGGGCAGAGCTAAGCCGCTGCCTACCGAAGAAGACATGCCGCCACACACCTTGAGATATGAGTTTTAACATCTCAGTTTTTACAGTACCAACAGCTGCCCCACCCTTCGAACCGAAACGCGTTACTGCTTCACGGCAGAAATAGGCAGGGCGGTGGTACCTACCCGTGCAGACTCACAAGACCTCCTACCACCAGTCCAATGTGTTCTTGTTCCAGATGAAACTTGGAAAAATATTTTCGTTGATGAAGAAGTAGCCGTGAACCAACCTGATCTCCTCAAGGCTTCCGCTCAGTAGCTTCATGAAGCAGTGCGAGTCGGCGTGGTCGTGGATCGCTGAGGCGTGTCCTGGCCCCCAGCACAGGATCATGATATTGAACGCCCCGTTCCCAACGTCGACCAAGTTCCTTGTGTACCTGAACCGATTATAGGAATTTAATGTGAATTAACGCGATGAATATTTTAATGGACCATAAAAAAAGAAGAGGGTCTTAATTCGATTGTGCTTTTTATATGTTTGTTTCCTCATAAATATTTTCTAGGTAAGGTGATTTTTAATACGCTTTTATTAGCTTCAGACGTATGTATGTTAGTATGTAACGGAATCTTTGAACATGATTTTGACCCCCTTCAAAACGTCGGATTAACTCGAAATTTGGTATACTTATTAAGGACCGATGACAAATCGATTTTAAAAAAAATAAGGAACTTCGTTCCAATAATTAAAAAAATGAAATTCATCTAAAAAATGAAAAAATAACTTATAGTTTAAAAAAACTAACAAAATACGCTTTTATAGAAAATCCAACAAAAAAATTTAAAATAAATTTTAATAAATTTGAATTAAAGTGTGTAGATTAAGAAAAAATGATTTTATTGTAAAAAAAGAGTGGGGTGCATGGTATCAGTAGTTATAAATATTTTATGAACAGAAATGAGCAGAAGGGTTATTTTGATAATATCCTGAAAACCACCCCACGCTTTTTTACAATAATTATTTACAATAATTACAATAAATAATAAATAAAATATAAAGAGGAAAGATTAGTTTGTTTGTTTGTACTGAATAGGCTCCGAAAGTACTAAATCGAATTAAAAATTCACTGTTTGGAAGCTACACTTTTCCCGAGTGACATAGGCCATAGTCTTTTTTGAAAAAAATTAGGGATCCTTACTAAAACTCCAATAATGTAACCCAAGGTGTAAAAAAATACCTAAAATATTCTTTACATCGCGTGCCCTGCGAAAAGTATTGACGATAAAATAAAATAATGTAGTAAGACTTTGTAGAACACATTATTATTTACAAAAAGTGTCGCGACAGCATATGTCTAACTATTATAGTTATGCCGCAATAAGTGCTCTTTTATTTAAAAAATAAAACAATGTCAAAAATATCGTTGAAATTTTTGTTAAAGACCCGAGCGGAGCAGGAGCGGTCCGTTAGTTAATAATATAAAGCTGAAGAGTTTGTTTGTTTGAACGCGCTAATCTCAGGAACTATTGGTCCGATTTGAAAAATTCTTTCAATGTTAGATAGCCCGTTTATTGAGAAAGGCTATAGGCTATATATATAACATCACGGTAAGACCGGACAGGGTAAGTGGAGAGCACCGATAAAGAATGTTTCAAAATCGTTTTTTTTTTTCGTTTTGAGAGCTTCCGCTGCTTGCGCTGCAGAAACGGTTAAAGTTTCGCTAAAATAATGTAATAACAGAATTGTTCCCCTTTAAAATATCTAAACAAAAGTCCGCCACAGCATATGTCTATATGTTAAGGTTGGCTCACTATAACGTTTTTTATGCTAACCAAATTTGTTCTAAAATAAAGCATTATATGTGAAATATTCCACTCGGACAAAGTCGCGGGCAAAAGCTAGTGGAACATAAAAAAAGAAGAGCTTCTTAATTCGACTGTGCTTTTTAAATGTTTGTTTCCTCAGAAATATTTTATAGGTGAGGTGATTTTTCTTTGAAGACTTGTGCCTCTCATGTGGTCTCGTTTTTTCATCAAGATGGGACCAGTTAATTTTCGAGTTATCTTTAAAAATGCAGTTTTTTTTGTTATAGCCCGTGTAGGCAGACGAGCATACGGCCCACCTGATGGTGAGTGGTTACGTCGCCCATGGACTTCAGCAATGCCAGGGGCAGAGTCAAGCTACCGTTAAGTACTCTCCACAAGCCTCGTTTGAAGAAGGACTTGTCTTAGCGCTCGGGAAACATCGTGGAGGGGAGCTCATTCCAAAATATTTAACTCCACTGCGACTATATTGATGTTTTTATAATATTTATTGCACTGGATAGCCGATCTCACAGGCCTCCTTGTTGAGTAGTTAGTAAAGCTAAATATCACAGGATGGATGACCAAGCGTTGTCCAGGCGCCTGAATATAGTCTGTGGTTTTTTTTTTACCGCGCAAGCAGAGCACTGCGTGACACGTTAAAATATACGCTTTGAATTTTTATCCCAATTTATATATCTATATATTAATACGTGAAGCAAAAACTTTGTATCCCTTTTTAAATAAATTGCGCGGACGGAGGAGTATGAAATTTTCCACAATTATAGAGAATATAGAGAAGAAGTGCACAATGCTAATTTTTTTTTTAAATAATGCATAAAAGATACATTAAATCAATAAAGAAAACATTACACACACTACATGCCATGTATTTGACGCACACACGCATGCATACTATTTATTGTAAAACTTTTGTTCTTGACGTCTGTTGTCAAATTGAGAATAGATTAAATATTGTTCGTCTTTGTTAATATTTTTTATAGTGTAGTCTTGGCGAAATTTGTGATTATAGAAGTATAAAATACAATCAATAGTGTACAGACTTACAATTCCAATTAATTATAGTCGAATTTCGACTACTGCGGGACCTCTAGTTATTTTAATTCTGTACTTCCCGAACAAGCATTGTCCTTAATGCCAAATCGTATTTGAATATATAGAATATAGAGAAAAGGCAAAAAATTGAATTATTTCGCAGTAAGCCTTTTCGCGTACTGTGATGGTTTGTTTAACATTTAAGTTTGATTAGTAAAACAAATGTTTTATATTTTTAATTATCGCACCGATTTCGACAGATCAAAGTTCGTTAGGCTGTCAAAGGCCTCGGGAACTAAAAAAAAACTAGAACAGTAAAAAAACATGCTTAAACATTTTATTTTAATCGAAGCGAAAATTGAAATAAACATGGCGATCCTGATACGCCTCTAAGTTTTCAAGTCTATAAAATGATGGAAACTTTTTTATTGCCCTTGTAGGTAGACGAGCACACGGCCCACCTGATGGTGAGTGGTCATCGTCGCCCGTGGACTTCAGCAATACCAGGGGCAGAGCCGAGCCGCTGCCTACCGCTACTTACGTTCAAAGATTCCGTTCAATAGATTTATAGATACAAGACGAGCCAATAAAAATGTGCAAAAAATAATCTAATTAAAAGCGTGTTAAAAATTTCGTTAAAAAAATAAGCTAAAAAAACGCGTACTAAAGTGTGCGTTAATAAAAAAGCTAACAAACTCATGTTAAAATTAAATAATACTTCAAGTCGATGCTGTTGCTCTGTTATTCTGTTTTTATAATGGCTTTACATGCTTATTAAGCATGAATAAGCGCAATAAAAACAAATGATTTGTATCCATATCATGCACAAAAAGGTGGTATTAAGTATGCGTGGAAACACCAAGGATGTCTTGAGGGTATTACCAGAAAAGCTGGATGGACCGACTCTAGATTCATTAAATTGCATGCTCTAAATCACCCTTTCCCAAAGTGAGCGATAACGCCCCCTCGTGGGCGCTGCAGGCCTTAAGGGGGGCGGTAAGAGACCAAGAAAAAAAATTTCATCTAGAAGGACCCTTAGTCACCGACTTAGCAGAGCTATAGTGGTTTGTAAGTAGATGTAAAAAAATGGGGGCTCTAAAAAATAATTTATTCTCAAATAATACGGTGGACGAGCTCACAGCCCACCGGGTGTTAAGTGGTTACTGGAGCCCATGGACATCTACAACGTAAATGCGCCACCCACCTTGAGATATAAGTTCTAAGATCTCAGTATAGTTACAACGGCTGCTCCACCCTTCAAACCGAAACGCATTATTGCTTCACGGCAGAAAAAGGCAGGGCGGTGGTACCTACCCGCGCGGACTCACAAGAGGTCCTACCACCAGTAAAGTGGGCAAAATAAAATAAGTTTGGGAACCCCTGCTCTACGTGATGCTTGATGAGGCTGCCAAGGACTAATTTAGTATACTTAGATTTACTTCAACTTAAAAAAAACGTATTTACTAACATAGTTTCTTTAAGTTATTTGTAATACTAACTCACTATTAGATTTTGACGTCTCGATATAAAAGATTTTATTTATACTTAAGTTTCACAGTATAGTTACTTGGCAACAGATGTGCCTGTTGTTATAATTAGCAAAATCTGGAATCTTCTCACGCAATATCTACGTACACAACTCTTCGGGGGGCTGATAAGATATTAAGCAAACTTACGAACCACAATAACATATTTAATTGATAACACGTAATAACATTCTTATCTTACTAAAATATTTTGCAAACAGCATCACAGATCCATTATCAATGGAAAATATTACAGGGAAAATAAACAAGACGAAATCGGTTCGTCTGAAGCTAAGCGTTGTTGCGAACTGATATAATTAGTGGGACCACACTTGATGGCTTTTGAAAGATAAAATGTATAGTCATTCGAAATACATTTAGGATCCTGTCAACGCTTTTTCGACTACACACAGGGTCCCTATATCTTAAAACTGCTATGGCCACAACGTTTTTCTGATGGCCATTTTCGCCACTTGTGAGTCCGCGCGGGTAGGTACCACCGCCCTGCCTATTTCTGCCGTGAAGCAATAATGGGTTTCAGTTTGAAGGGTGGGGCAGCCGTTGTAACTAAGCTTGAGACCTTAGAACTTATATCTCCAGATGGGTGGCGCATTTACATTGTAGATGTCTATGGGCTCCAGTAACCACTTAACACCAGGTGGACTGTGAGCTCGTCCACATATCTAAGCAATAAAAAAAAGGCTCGATATCCATGATAGTCAGCATCGTGGGCGGCCATTAGAAAAGCTTTCACACTCTAATATAAAGTTCTAGAAAGAATTGCTCTATAATTATCTTTAAGGCCTTATCATCTTCAAATGAATAGTGGTCCAAGAATCATTTAGGTTTCAATAAGATGGAGTATTTTCTTGTCGTTTTGGCGTTATCATCAAAATTGTATTCAATTGTTTAGGACATTATTGTTTTAATTGTAAAATACTATATAGTTTTTATTAGTCTTGTTAAATGTGCTAGCTACTAGCTCGCATGTGAGGTCCTATCAAAAGTATGTCTAGCGTTCTAATAGGTGAGAAGCTAGATGACTTTGATCTTATATCTCAAGGTGACGGTGGCACGAGGGTAATAACTACACTTTGGTTTTTTTTAATTGCATATTAATGTTGTTATTTGGGTTATAAATATACAATGTAAATGCCGATACCCAATTTCAAATAAAGCATTCTTGGATCTTAATTAGTGTGTATTTTGGTAGTTTTCCAATTACAGCACAAGAGCGCATTATGCGGCATAATGCTCAACGTTGAATGTTCCAACTACAGCAACTCGAAGCACAATCGAGCACTCTCAAGAGTACTGCTCTCGCGTGATGCTCGCAATCGATACCGACTCAGTGACAGAAAATTGACAAGTGTTGTTTCTTTAAGTTGGCATTGATCGAATTTTTTTTTATATTGTCGTTAGTAATATTATTTAGTGTTGAAAAAAATTGTAAGGCTTTCGTTTTTTTTTTTTCATTGCCTTTGTAGGCAGGCGAGCATACGGCCTACCTGATGGTGAGTGGTTACCGTCGCCCATGGACCTTAGCAATGCCAGGGGCAGAGCCAAGCCGCTGCCTACCGCTTAATATTCCACAAGCCTCTTTTAAAGAAGGACATGTCATAGCGCTCGGGAAACACCGTGGAGGGGAGCTCATTCCATAGCCGGATGGTACGAGGCAAAAAAGACCTCTGGAAACGCACTGTCGATGACCACAGTGGCTCCAGGTAGTATGGATGAACTCTACTCCGGTGGCGGGCGGTGCGATGGTAAAAACGGGATGCCGGTATCATCTCGAACAATTCCTCAGAGCACTCCCCATGGAACATTCGGTACAAAATACAGAGGGAACCAAAGTTTCTTAGAAATAATCTATGTTAATTAAAACTGTGCTAACTTAGCGCACTCTGCTGGTGCATTTGAAAACTAATTCACGTTCCAATTAAGCTTCAGCATAATTCGGCATTGTGCGTCACTGAGTCGCATTATGCTCTGTAATTGGAAAACTACCACTGTGTCCAGCAGCACTTGTTTTTAATACGCTTTCATTAGCTTCAGACGTACGTATGTTTGTAACGGAATCTTTGAACATGATTTTGACCCCCTTCAAAACGTCGGATTAACTCGAAATTTGTTATAAGGACCGATGACAATCAATATTTATAAAAAAATTGAAATTCAACTAAAAAATGAAAAATAAATATTAAGTTTAAAAAAACTAACAAAATACGCTTTTATAGAAAATCCAACTAAAAAATAGAAAATAAATTTTAATATTTTACGTATTTTGTTAGTTTTTTTTTAAACTATTATTTATTAGATTTCTTTTGGCATCTTGTTCCTTGGAGCTCCGTTTGCATTTCATGGACGCCCTACACGACATACGCTGTTTTGACAATTATCGAATTACACCAAATAGGAATTCAAAATGTTGACTCGCAAACCTAAACCATAAGCACTTGATTAGCGCAATTCATCGAATTTCCACAGACCGTGTTTGGTCATAAGAAACAAGGAGTCTAAGTTAATTTTACGCGGAAAAATATACTTTATTTCCCTACTGCGTTAAGGGTGACTTTCACTTGTTATCATACCCTTACTTGTTACTTACTTGTTAGTAACTTGTTAGTTTACCCAATAAGAATCTAATTGACAGTGTGTCAACAAAATTTTCCCTCAGTTTTCCTTGTGCCAGGAAAATGTCTATTGCAAATTTTATTGTTTTATTGGAAATTTTAACCAACTTTAAAAAAAGAGGGAGGTTATCAATTTAATTGTTTTTTTTTAAATGTGTGTGTAAAACTGAAGAACTGTTCTCTAAGTTTTTTATTTTTATTGCTTACATGGGTGGACGAACTCACAGCCCACCTGGTGTTAGGCGGTTACTGGAGCCCATAGACATCCATAGGCATCTATAGACATCTAAATGCTGCCACCCACCTTGAGATATGAGTTCTAAGGTCTCAGTATAGTTAAAACGACTGCCCCACCCTTCAAGCCGAAACGCATTACTGCTTCACGACAAAAATAGGTGGGGTGGTGGTACCTACCCGTACGGACTCACAAGAGGTCTTACCACCAATAAAAATTATTTTGAAATAAAATACTATTTTTACGTTTCTTTTGAAAACTGTTGCTTCGGATCAGATCCCATTTAAGTTTTATTAAGATCTGGCCAGTCGTTTTTCGATTATACATAGTTGTAGAGAGTATTACAGCATGTTCTATTGACTAAGACTAGATTAATCACAGTCCATTTTACTATCTTTGATGTCGTATTTTTTTGTTTTTTCCTTTTTTTTTATTGCCCTTGTAGGCAGACGAGCATACGGCCCACCTGATGGTGAGTGGTTACCGTTGCCCATGGACTTCAGCAATGCCAGGGGCAGAGCCAAGCCGCTGCCTACCGCTTAATACTCTCCACAAGCCTCGTTTGAAGAAGGACATGTCATAGCGCTCGGGAAACACCGTGGAGGGGAGCTCATTCCATAGCCGGATGGTACGTGGAAAAAAAGATCTCTGGAAACGCACTGTCGATGACCGCAGTGGCTCCAGGTAGTATGGATGAACTCTACTCCGATGGCGGGCGGTGCGATGGTAAAAACGAGATGCCGGTATCATCTCGAACAATTCCTCAGAGCACTCCCCATGGAACATACGGTACAAAATACAGAGAGAACCGAAGTCCCTCCGCAGACCCAGAGGTTCCAAACGATCCGTGGTAACCTTAACTATTCGCTGGTAGCCTAAGAGGCCAGCTACGCGCTAAAGGTAGGTGAGCTCATGGGCTCAACCTGAGAGAATTTGCTAACACTAGCCCTAGAAAGAGGAGTGCTTCGCTGAATCAACCGCTGAGAAGATCCGGCGAGAAACTAAGCGAGCTGATTCATGGGTTAGGTTGCACGGCGAACTCTTTGTCGAGTTCGACGAGTACGGTTACCGGGGTCCCTACTTCTAGTGTAAGAGCTAAAGGCGTCTAATGCAAGGATTATTGGATCTGATGGATCCGTAAGGGCGGTGACTGGCTCCTGCGTGATCAGGATATTATATTATCATATTTTAAACGTGTTCCTCTATACCCTTGTGATGATGGAAATAGTTATATGTGCGATAAGAGAGCAAAGTTGTTTATTATTACACACATAACTTTTCACCTCAGCAGTGAGAACATATATTACTTAGGAGACATAAAAATGAACGGGAATAGATTGAAATAACTATTTAAAAAAAAACGTAATTTCTTTATTACAAATTAGCTGACCCTGCAGACTTCGTAGTGCCTCAATCGATAAATAAAAGACCTAAACTTTTGTAGAAAATACGCCTTAAAACAAACAAAAGGAATTCGTCCGAATGGGGATACATCAAATGGAAAACAAAATTGTTATTTTTATTAATTCCGAGCATTTTCATATTTATCTACCTTTTAAGCCTTCTCTGGACTTCCACAAATAATTCAAGACCAAAATTAGCCAAATCGGTCCAGCCGTTCTCGAGTTTTAGCGAGACTAACGAACAGCAATTCATTTATATATACTTAATAGAAGATAGAAGGTAGAAGATTACTTTAAATTTTAGGGTATTACGCGTTTCCGAACGTGTTTTCTTTGAGGTCGAATTCCAAAATCGAATTTCGAAGGGGTTTGGGTTTTTTCACTCGCTTTTTTATGTGCATGTGAAGGAGACAGAGTGCAGTAAAATTCGAATGTTTCAAATTTATAGCTGAAGATTGAAAAATCAAAAAGCTACTTTGTCTCAAGCCCGAATCGAAATCGCGTTTTGTTCACTGTTGTCTCGCAACAAAATGTGGCATGTTTGAGCTGCTGGGGTGACACTTTTTTTATTTTATTTTTATTGCCCTTGTAGACAGACGAGCATACGGCCCACCTGATGGTGAGTGGTTACCGTCGCCCATGGACTTCAGCAATGCCAGGGGCAGAGCCAAGCCGCTGCCTAACTTAAAAACTAAACTTAAAAACTTACCTGAAACGATCAAACTTCGCGTATTTCCTCCAATCCTTAGGGTCGGATTTGTAGCCTGCCATGAGTTTCTGAACATCCTGAACGTTCACGTGGCTCCTCGAGAATATTCCGTGTAGTTCTTCAATTAGTCTCTCCAAGCCGGCAATCTCACTGCAAATCACACGGCCCTTGAGTTTGTCTTCGATTTCATGACGGAAAATTTGCTTTTTTCTCTCTACCTAACCGCTGGTGGTCTAAGGCACTATTCCAGCTACATTCGAACTGGGAGACACAAGGCGTCAAGCCTGAAAGAAGTTGCTAACATCAGCCCTAGCAAGAACAGTGCTTCGCAGAATCTGCTACCGGGTCGATATCGCGACCCACTGAGAGGATCCGGTGTGAAACTCGGTGGATTAAAAAGTTACCGAATACACTATTAAATATTTGTTTTGTATGTGAAACTTTTTGCGGAATCTGCTAGCTAACGACTCTTTTGACTCTAATTCGAACTTTACTTCACAGAATCACCCGCTGGGTCGATATGATTATTTCCCGAAAAATCTCATCAAAGTCGGTCCAGCCCTTTTCTTGAGTCTATAGGGAACATACCCACATTGATTTATATATATACAAAGAATTTTTGATCTATTTAGGTACTTGAAGTGCATGAGATTACATATTCCTTTTATATCATTAAAAGATTGGTATCAAAATTGAAACTCTGGTTATTAAGGGTTAATGTTTTATAGATCACTAAATAAAATGAAATAATCCTTACGTTACTCACGTAGAACTAAACACTATTGAAAATATTTGATAACAGACATGTCTATGTCACTTCTTCGGATATTTTGGCCCCATATGACGTCACGCGAAATAAAATTGAGCTCAGGCGAGTTAAATTACGCGGCAATTTTGAAACTAACGATTTTTCGCTTCCTCATTGCGCTCAGAGACAATAAACCTCCTTCAAAAGAATTCTGCGCAAAAGACTGCGCAAATGCCCATGGACAACGGCTACCGTCGACCATCAGGCGGGCCGTAAGACCACCATAAAACAATTCGACTTACTGATTCACTTTTAATGGTTTTTCTATGGGCAATATCTCCATGTCCGTGCATTGCGACACTTTGAGTTTGCAATTCGCGTTTTCCACATCCATCTGCAACAAAGAATGTTTGACTTTCATAATACAATAATGGGAGGTGAATTCATGGCTCTGGTGTTCTTTTTTTTTTTTTTATTGCTTAGATCGGTGGACGAGCTCACAGCCCACCTGGTGTTAAGTGGTTACTGGAGCATAGACATATAGGACGTAAATGCGCCACCCAATTAGAGATATAAGTTCTAAGGTCTCAAGTATAGTTACAACGGCTACCTAACCCTTCAAACCGAAACGCATTACTGCTTCACGGCAGAAATAGGCAGGGTGGTGGTACCTACCCGCGCGGACTCATTAGAGGTCCTACCACCAGTAAGTGGTGTCGAATGATTGCAGTATGGTCGTACACTTTCAAAACTAAAAGCAAAATTCCGGCTTTCAACTTTTGAATATTGTACCAATCAACCTTCTCAATCGCGTCTCTCTTGACAGACTGGTCGTGATCGTCTTGTAGAGTTGGAGGGAGTAGACTTGACGCGTCTAAGGACGTCCCACCACCTCTCCCTGCTCGACGCCAACCTACTGCTCTGGTCTAGAGGACCTCCCGATCCCGGTTTTACTTTGATCAGTCCACCAATTAAATATTTCAATAAATAGGAGAACACAAAACATAATTACTGGTGGTAGGACCTCTTGTGAGTCCGCGCGGGTAGGTACCACCACCCTGTCTGTTTTTGCTGTGAAGCAGTAATGCGTTTCGGGTTAAAGGGCAAGGCAGCCGTTGTGTTGTAAAAATTGAGACCTTACAACTCGTGTCACGAGGTGGGTGGCGCCATTTAGGTTGTAGATGTCTATGGGCTCCGGTAACCACTTAACACCAGATGGGCCATGAGCATATTAAGACACTGATCTGACTGAATGCAAGCAGTTACGTTGATTCTGGATAGGTACAGTTTATGTGGAAAAATCACATTCTTAATTCAGCGCATACTTTCGGTAAGTTAGGTTTCCGGCAAGCTAAGTAAGTTCGGTAAGTTAAGTTAGGAAAAGAATGAGTGATCGAATAAGTTTTAAAAACTTCTAAATGAGGCTAAAATCTACTCTACCATGCTTGGTTATCATCTTTGCCGAACCAGTTGTGGTGTAAGCAAATACCACAGGCATAGTTCAATTGAGCTGCCATTTCAGTAGATGATTTTTGTTCCTACCTAAGCTAATAGCCTTGATAGGCTATTTCAACGTAACCTTAACTAGTAGGTGAGCTCACGGGGCTCAAACCTGACGACGTTGCTAACACGAACCCTAGCAAGAGCCGTGCTTCGCAGAGTCTACCACCGGATCGGAAACGCGACCCACTGAGAAGATCCGGCGAGAAACTCAGTGGGCTGTGTCTGTGGGTTAATTTACTTGTCGAGCCCTTCGTCGTAAGCGACGGGTTCGACGAGAACGATGACATGTGTTTAAGGTACCTAAAAGCACCGTTAGTGGGAGTAGATGAACAACTGAATAACCCGCTATATCGGGGGTGTGTAAGCCTGCTAATCAATTACTTTAAGTTTTTTTTATATGCCGTTAGTTTGAAAATCTTGTAAATTCTCGAATGTTCCCATCACCTATTCTTAGAGTGTCGCTATGATTCTAAATTGCCTCTCCCTAGTTTTTAAAATGTGTATAGGGGCGTTATTAACTCGCCTTTAAGGGCTTCTATATTCCTGCTGCTACCGCAATTTTTTTTATTGCTTAGATGGGTGTACGAGCTCATAGCCCACCTGGTGTTAAGTGGTTACTGGAGCCCATAGACATCTACAACGTAAATGCGCTACCCACCTTGAGATATAAGTTCTAAGGTCTCAGGTATAGTTACAACGGCTGCCCCATCCTTCAAACCGAAACGCATTACTGCTTCACGGCAGAAATAGTCAGGGTGGTGGTGCCTACCCGTGCGGACTCACAAGAGGTCCTACCAACAGTAATTACGCAAATTATAATTTTGCGGGTTTGATTTTTATTACACGATGTTATTCTTTCACCGTGGAAGTCAATCGTGAACATTTGTTAAGTACGTATTTCATTAGAAAAATTGGTACCCGCCTGCGGGATTCGAACACCGGTGCATCGCTCAACACGTATGCACCGGACGTCTTATCCTTTAGACCACGACGACTTCAAGTAAGTAGCCATGCCATCGCCCGGAAGAGGCCGGACGTCCGCCAAGTCATAATTAAAATTGAAACCATCGATCATTTTACGACGAAAAACATTAACACAATAATAATTGTAAGTCGTAAAACCAATTTCGAAAGACGAATTGTTTTTGCGATCAATCGAACTATCTGGAAAAAGCTATTTTGCGTAGTTCACGAGAAGCTTCGATAGTAAATAGGCGCCACATCTGCCGATAATCGAGATCCGTGGCCTAATAGATAAGACGCCCGATTTGTCCGTTGGCAAGCGGTTTTGCTAAAGTTCGATCTACAGTAACTGTCAAACTTTTAGAATAACAATTTCCTTTTTTCATTTTTTTATTACACTAGATAGATCGAGCCTAGTAGTAAGTGGTTTCCGAAGCCCATGGACATCACATCATATGATGCAGTTTTTTTTACCCCTTGTTCGGAACAATTTATGTGGTACAGCTCCTTTCCGCTTTAAAGGGTAGAACAGCTGTTATGGAATGTGTTTGAGATATCGACCTCATATCTCAAGAATAATACAAGACAAAAATCATAAAAATAATATAAGAACTTGATCATGTTGTTGTTATTTCAAAATTAAGAGACCGTAATACATAATTATATAAGTTAAAAAATATATTAGCACACATATAATTAATTTATCAATGTTTGCTACGACGATTTAAAATTTATCAGAAAGAATGTTTCTGGAATATTAAACATTTTAGATACTTTAATAGGTAATACGCAATTCTTCTAAAAAACTTCTTTCATAGAATGTGACATTTGGAGTTCTAATTGATTTATTCAAAAATCGAAATATTTAATATAATTCCATTCAACTATATTTTTTATTCAATTACATTTTCTTCGAAGAAGTTTCTCATCATGTTTCGTTAATTAAAAATTAATAAATACACAAAAAAAATCCATAGACAATACTTACAATAATATCAAACCAGGGGCACAGACACCCAAAACACACAAAAAACCGTAAAATCGAAATTTGAAACACAACCGTCTCTTAACGACCACAGACTCAAAATGACTTGAACTTTTCCCGCGCTTTAACTTTTATTTGCCAGAAAGAAAGTTTTTTTAATCTGTGATGTGTCTTAGTTTACGCGTAATAAGTGTTGGGTTGTGAAATAGTTTTATCGACATCGGATTAATTATGTCGTTAGGTTTAATCGATTTTAGGAGAATCTATTTTCGTGACGCAATCGAGCTTAAAAAATGCGATAGCCGCCTTTTTTTGTCAGATGTTATAGAGGAATTGTTCGAGATAATGCCGGCATCTCGTTTTTACCATCGCACCGCCCACCACCGGAGTAGAGTTCATCCATACTACCTGGAGCCAGTGCGGTCATCCACAGTGCGTTTCCAGAGGTCTTTTTGCCACGTACCATCCGGCTATGGAATGAGCTCCCCTCCACGGTGTTTCTCGAGCGCTATGACATGTCCTTCTTCAAACGAGGGTTGTGGAGAGTATTAAGCGATAGGCAGCGGCTTGGCTCTGCCACTGGCGTTGCTGAAGTCCATATGCGACGGTAACCACTCACCATCAGGTGGACCGTATGCTTGTCTGCCTACAAGGGCAATAAAAAAAATGTTACTTATAACCCAGAGGCCTTTCCAGTTTCACCAAAACAGGTGGACGAGCAAAGGCTCAGCCAAGTGAGAAAGGAGTTTCTAACAGCCTTCCGAGCGCCTCCGGAGGAGATCTAACAACTCAAAGGCAGCTGCTTCGCGAATGAATTTACTACCGGATCGGAATCGCGACCCGCTGAGAAGATCCAGCGAGAAACTCAGCGGGCTGATGTTTAGGTTAGGTTAGACGAGTAAGATTACCATAGTCCCGATGCCTAAAGTGTTAGAATAATAGGTTATAACGCAAAGGTTTTTTCTATTAATTGTTTTAATTTTAATCACACCACGTTATCCTTTCACCGTATATTTCTCTAAGGACGTCCTAGATATGTATATTTTTAGCAAAATCAATACCTTGTTACTAATACCTGTAGGACAGAATTAAGACGTTTGTAATTTAATTAAAAATCGGCTTAATAGTAACAATCGAAGAAGAAGGTCGTCCCACCCTCAAATTATGGAGATGCAATTGCAGTATGACCTCTACAACCTCACAGAAATCAAATTTCATTTTTTATCTCATTAAATTTACTTTTTTTTATTTTTTTATTGCCTAGATTTGTGGACGAGCTCACAGCCCATCTGGTGTTAAGTGGTTACTGGAGCCAATAGACATCTACAACGTAAATGCGCCACACACCTTGAGATATAAGTTCTAAGGTCTCAAGTATAGTTGCAACGGCTGCCCCACCCAATACCGTCTTTACCATAAGGGCACACGGGGCCCGTGCCCAGGGCCCCCATTCTCAGGGGGCCCCTAAGGGCCAACAATTTCTCTCACACATTTATTATCAAACATTATTGTCGGGCACATTACACTTTTTTCACAAATCAGTAATCTTATCAGAAGGTACCTATTTATAAGGCATATACTACGCCATTATATCGATGACTGCGCCTATTCCTACTGTACTAATTAATAATATTTTCGAACGCATCCTACCTAATTTACTAAGTACACCATCTACTAAGTAACCAAAAAACCAGCAGCATTCTAATATCATTAATGACATATATCATACTGTATTTGATTACCTATAATAAATGGTCATACTCAGTAAAAAAATGTTATAATAATTCGCTTTTTTTACTTTCCAAAAGGGCCTCAAATTCTTGTGTGCCCAAGGGCCCCTAATTATTACCTAGCCTAAATTAAGACGTCCCTGGCCCCACCCTTCAAACCGAAACGCATTACTGCTTCACGGCGGAAATAGGCGGGGCGGTGGTACCTACCCG